AAAAAGTGTGTTTTAAACCTGCAATTAAAGTGTAGAGCAGGAATTGTGCTTGTAGTTTAGCAGAATTGGTTCAGGGGGTTGGTGCATTATTTACATGTTGTAGTCATTGTGTCTGAAGTACAAGTAATTGTGTAAATTGCAAAAAATGCTTTTCTTACTTAGATTTTTTGTCTTGTTTCTTGTCCAAATATTTAAACACTCTTAAATCAAGCAGAAATTTATAGACAAGCAAAACAAACTGTCTTGTTTTAAGAAATAATATGCCAAAATTAAGTGAGTTTTTCCTTAAAACAAGTTAAATAATCTGCTAACGGGGTAAGCAAAATAATCTTAGGTCAAAAGGAAAAAACAAGATTATTTTGCTAACCCCATTGGCAGATTATTTTGCTTGATTTGAGGAAAAACTCACTTCATTTTGGCATATTATTTCTGAAAACAAGACAATATGTTTTGCTTGTCTAGGAAATGCTTCTTGATTTAAGAACTTTTAGATATTTGGACAAGAAATAAGACAAAACAAATCTAGGTAAGAAAAGCATTTTTTTGCATTGAATGGATTCGTCATTCAAGACATTTCTTTCCAAGGTGTCTTAGTAATGACATTACCTGCGTTGTTGATGAAATTCTCTGGCCAGATCCAGCTAGATGAAGAGAGTATTCTTTTTTTTCTTTTTTTTTTTGTAACAGTAAACTTTCAGTACAATAGGTAAAATTACATGTTGTTACAGTACTATGAATCTCCATGTCAACATGTTGGGCATATTGAGAAATAAATGAGTTTCTTCAGTGTGCTGCATTGGTTTTGTGTAGTTTTTGGTGGATTCAGTTTATATTTGTACTTTGTTGACGGTAGCCTACTCTAATCATAGGGAAGTAGAAGTGCTAAAAGTGTTTATCACAGCGGAGTGTAACTCGTGCAAACTGAGTATAGTAAATGTGAAACACACGTTTCTTATGGTAAAAAAAAAAGTGTGTTTAAAAAAAAAAAACAGTAGTGTCGAGTTTTTACAAGAGTGTTTAATTATGCAAATGATCTGTAGTGTTTTGCTAAGTGGGTGTGTGGTTGTGCTACTTGTGTGTACTGTTTTGAAAACTCGGCCCCTGTTTTGAAAATCGTGCTTAAGCAATTCCTAAAAAACTAAGTTTAACACTGAACGAAAAAAGGCTTACAACAAGTCATTATGATGAATGGAGAAGAAGTGGTCATAGTGTTTTACATTAGGCACATCAGTGCTTAATTGTACATAAAATTGTCTATTCATGTGATGGCTTGTGTGTCATTTGAAAACAAAACACCATTTTAAGGAAGGAATCACACTGTTTTGATTTCATTTTGCAGAAGAATTGAAGGGTTTTGACTAATGTGTGTGTGGTTTGAGACCTGCTTTCAGAAAATGTGTGCAAACCACTCGGAAAAACTGTAATAACCCAAAGGTTGGGTTTGTCCACATATCACCCAACATTGGGTTTCAATAACCCATATTTTCTTTGAGTGTAATAATATTCTTAAAACACGTTAAATCCTATTTGTTAACACTAATAACCTGCTGGGCATGCCGGTTTGAAATGCAGCATTTTTCTTCAAAGAGTGTGTTGTGGGTGTTTCCCCATATTAAAGGCGGTATGCAGTGAAGACTATATAAGTTCCTCTTTTTCAGTTCTTATTCAGATGAACCAAGGCTCTGAGTGACTGCAGGAGGCAAAATGTCATCAAGAGAAGGTCAGTCTAAACTAATCTAACATCCACTAATCTAACAAACACTCACAGACTAGACAGCTAGGACAGGAATTCTGCACTATTGATTACGTTCAAATACTGTAAATATACTACATTATTAACCCTTCTGTCAAATGTATGGTTATTATGGTTATGGTTTTGTAGATGTTTTTCATATGCCTTTTATGAACCTTTTTCACAGTATATTCATAAACATGCACTCATCTCAGTTAGAGAGTTTGTTGATGTGACATAAAGCAAATGTTTTCAAATGTTTGACATTTATTGTGACTCTGTGTTTCTCATTTTGGTCATTATTAAAGATGAAGATTATGAAGACAATTACGAAGATGATGGTGATGTAAATGATGAGGTGGAGGAAGATGAAGCTGAGGAAGAAGTTGAAGAGGATGAGGAAGAAGAAGAAGATGAGGAGGAGGTAGAAGTAGATGAGGAAGAGGAGGAGGAGGAGGAGGAGGAAGATAATGAGGAGGAGGAAAATGAAGATGAGGAAGAAGATGATGATGATGATGATGATGATGATGATGATGATGAGGAAGAAGATGACGAAGAAGATGAAGATGGTGACAAGATCTCCGGTATGTAAATATGTACATATTACAGTGATTCAACAGCTGAATGTGCCTCTATATCTAGTATATTCAGTATGTTCTGACTGCAGTTTAAGATATTAAACATCAAACATTTATTTGAAAAATGTCATTAAATTATAAATAAATTATATTTGGCCCCGCCCATGGCTGTTCCATATTAGCATAGATTTCCCTGAGTGAGTCACATTAAACAAGCCCCGGCGGCCTCAACTCTGTATTGCACTGCAGTATTAGCGTAGATCTGCCCTGAGTGAGTCACTTTACAGAGGCCACGCCCATTATCATATTAGCCTTGTTAGCATAAACCCGCCCAGTCACACTGAACTTGCCCCGCCCATGACTGTTGATGATGTTTACTGTACTTTTGGTTTAGTTTAACTCTTGTGTGAATACAGATATCACGCCCTGGATTGTTAACAAACCCTACCTTATTAGTGTAGCCCCGAATGAAGCTGCAGTCACACTGGGCTTTTCCTCCCATAGACTCCATTCATACGCACGCGAATGCGTCAGACCGGAAACACAGGGTCATGTGTCAAGTTTTGCAGGTTGCTGCGGTGCAAAGTTCAAGCTTGGTGAACTCTGACCTGCGGAATCGCATCACTTGACTGCTCGCTTTTTTAAATATCTAATAAGCTTGTTTAATCCCGCCCGTTTTCGCATCCCCGCACGACAAAATATATCGCATGCTCAAACTCTAATGTGATCGCAGCTTAAGTCGCATTGAACAGGCCCCGCCCATGACTGTGTCATAATTAGCATAAACCTGCAGTAATAAAGTCACATTAAACAGCCCCCGCCCACAACTCTTGATGGACACTGCTATAGTAGCATAGACCTGCCTTGAGTAAGATATTTTGAACTGGCTCCACCTATGACTGCACCATAATTAGCATAGGCCTGCCCTAAGTAAGTCACATTGAACAGGCCCGCCCACAACTGTTAATGGACATTGCTTTAGTAGCATAGACCTGCCTTAAGTTATACACTCTGAACTGACTCTGCCCATAATTGTGTATAATTAGAATAGACCCGCCCTGAGTGAGTCACATTGAACTCACAGGCCCTGCCCACAAATATGTATTACTCTACAGTATGAAGCTGTGGTCACGCTAGAGTTTATGCATGCGAAATTCTGTCGGGCGGAGCAGCAAAAAAGGGTGGGATTAAACAAAATGATTAGACATTTTAATAAGCGAGCTATTGGTCCATATTTAAATTTCTGTCCGGAGAGGTCATGTTTTGACCCTCGATTGGTCCCACGCAGTCATGTGATGCGATTTCGCAGGTCGGAGTTCACCAAGCTTGAACTTTGCACCGCAGCAACCTGCGAAACTCGACGCATTCGCGTGCGTATGAATGGAAGCCTATAGGAGGAAAAGCCCAGTGTGACCGCAGCTGTAGCGTAGATCTCACTTTACAGAGGCCATGTACAGGATTGTTGACAATCCCTTCATTATTAGCATAGACCTGCCTTGAGTCACATTGAACAGGCCCCGCCCATGATTGTGCTATAATTAGAATAGACCCGCCCTGAGTGAGTCACATTGAACAGGGCCACATGGCCCTGCCCACAAATGTGTATTACTCTGCTGTATTAGCATAAATCTGATCTGAGTGAGTCACTTTCAAGAGGCCACATCCAGGATTATTGACAAACCCTACATTATTAGCATAGACCCACCCCGAGTGAGTCATATTGAACAAGACCTGCCCATGACTCTTTATTGTACTGCAGTGTTAGCGTAGATCTGCCCTGAGTGAGTCACTTTACAGAGGCCACATCTGGTATTGTTTACCTTATTAGCATAGACTCGCCCAGTCACACTGAACTTGCCCCGCCCATGACTGTTGATGATGTTTACAGTACTTTTGGTTTACTTTAACTCTTGTGTGAATACAGATATCATCGCAATGGGCTTAAGCGATCTCGCTGTCTCCAGTATGCCAGGTGAGCAATTTCTGAATTGAGAGAAATGCTTCTAAAGCCATAGATGATCATTAATGTTTCACTTAAGGTTACTAAATCAGTAGAATTATTTTTTATATAAATGAGGTTCACTGGATATTGTGTCTCATACATGCACTTTCTATCAAGATAACTACATTAACATCAAACTAACATAAACTTTTCCCACCCATGTGTAAAGATGAGCTGGTGCATAAGAAAATGCAAAAGAAGATTCGCAAAATGAAAGAGGCGGGGGTCGAAAAAGCTGTTATTATCGCTGATACAAAGGCTATGATGCATAAAATCGAGAAGAAAACACAAAGAAAAAACGCAGCTGCAGCTGGTACAAAGGCTACGATGCCGAAAACCCAGAAGAAACAAACGAAGATAAAAGCCACTGCAACTGGAACAAATGCTGCGATGCCGAAAACCCAGAAGAAACCAACAAAGATAAAAGCCACCTTAACTGGTACAAATGCCACGACACCTAAAGTCCAGAAGAAACAAACGAAGAAAAAAGCTGCTGCAGCATCTCATTAAATATTTAGCTCAACAGTTTTATTTTTATTATTTATGTTATTGTTATCATTATTATTAGTAATCGAACCTGAAAATACATTGGTCACTTCTACAGCACTTTCAGTACTTGCGTTTTACTCAGCCTGATCTCACGAGGAAAGTAACTATTTTAAATTTTGTTTAGTAGTCAAGTCATACGAGTTTAGTCATACAAAATGGCTCCTAAACCAAATCGTCATTGGGGATAAGCAAATCGTGCTAAACTGTGTGAATACAAATTCATACAAATTAGCCACTAAATCAATTTAGGAAATGCCATGAGAATATGTTGGATGTACCAATCACTCTGCGTAGATCATTTAACAACATATATACATATATTCACATGTAGTTAAAGTCAAAATGATTCGCTTAACTCTGAATTGTTTTTTTCTCTCTCAAATGTTATAAACCAGTGTTAGACATAGACTTGCATAATAACTCTAACTTGCCTAATTAACCTAGTTAAGCTATTAAATGTCACTTTAAGCTGAATACTAGTATCTTGAAAAATTCTGTGCAAAAAATACAATGCTGAAGTCAGATATTCTGCTTTGAAAATGTGCTCTACGTGCTGGAATGCTGTCTTTGTTTTGGTTCTTTTAACCCACCCAATGCCAGTTTAGCTAATTATGTTTCAGCACACCGGGGTGCCTTCATGGAAAACAGCATATTAGGGTGCTTTCACAGCTAGACTTTTGTTTCAGAACTTGTCTCGTTTGCCCAGTTAGCGCGGTTCATTTGGCAAATGTGAATTCAGCAATTGCGCTTGGATCCGCGCCAAAACAATCGCTCCGAAATCGCCTGAATGAGGTGGTCTCGGCTCAATTGAAACGAACTCTGGAGCTGATCAATTATAGTGAGAAAGCGATACGATCCGAGCCTGGTTATATCACAGTGTTTTATGGATATGTAATAGGCATACGGCTATATGAAGAGAGAACTATGAGTAGGGCAGGAGGTCATTTCAGACATCCCAAGTCTCCCGGATGTCACCGGGAGTCTCCCTCAAATGCACTGACACCCGGATGGCCGCAAATGTGTGATAATTTCCCGGTAATCGCGCGTCTCCCTCCCGGTCTTCAAATACATTGCGCACCCTTCTCACCCCTCCCCACCAGATCCCTCCTCGCACTTCAGACACTTTGCGTGCACCCTGTCAAACACCACCAAACCACCACTGCCCCTGACAGCTGAGCGGGACTCTGCAAATAAATCGTGAATCTCTGACCAATGTGAGGAGAGTTTAGTCACACATGACTTGTTTTAGCTATTTTGGTCCATTTAGAAACATTGCCGTGTGAAAGCGAAACGCAACAAAGAGCAACAATGTAACAATTTTAATCCCTGTTTTGGAACAAATGAATTGATTCACAGGTGTGAAAGCACCCTTAGATTCCCTCAGTTAGGAAGGCTCTCAAAGCATGCGTACACGACGGATAATGCAACCTCTTGTGGACAGTAGCAGACTCTGTAACGAGTTCCACGTGGGGTGGTTATTATTAGCAAGTAATATAAATATTAGGAATGTAAACATTAGGTGAACAGATTACATTGCAACCTTGTGTGCTAACAACACGCTATGTGAAGAGATTTGCAGTGATCAGCAATTTGGATGTTTGCATCAGACAAAACACAACAGATATGTAAATACAGCCATTCAGAAGCACAGAATAGTGCACTTACTGCACTCCAACAACATGGTAAGGTCTGTAATCTAATATACACAACATTAAACCTCTTTAACATTATCATCATATGTACCTGATGAATAATTGGTATTTGTTGGCACTGAGTCTCAGTTCTAAAGTTCAGTTTCAAACTGTTTATTTTACTTTATTTATCTGCTGCTGCTTTCAGTAGTATGGCAATAAATGTCATGTAAAATGGCATTCAAACTCTCACATTGATAGCACTCGTGTTAATCTGGCAACCTGCACTTGCGTGGACTCAGAGAAGGAGCCGAGTGAAAATGTGTGTTGATCCAGGAATGCAATACCTAGTTCAACCACTAGGTGTCAAACTTACATACTTCGCCTTTAAACGGGGGGGGGGGGTGGAAGAGGGGGGCTAATAATTCAGGAGGGCGAATGATTCAGACTTTAACTGTGCATATATGCAATTGAATAAAGCTGAACACAAACTCAGCTTTTTAAGACATTATACGCAAGACATCCTCATGTAGTGCTGAGTGTCGATGTTGTTTGGGTCAGAGTTTGTTGGATGAAACTTTTGTCAGTGTTTAAAACTGTGAGTTAAATTTCCATATTCATTACACGTTTTGGGAGTTTTGATTTGCAAATTGTTAAAAAGATATCAGTCTTTTTGAATCTTTCAAAAAAATTAATCCAACAATAGCTAAATAATAATGAAATAAATACATGAATAATAAAAAAATACTGGAAATGGGCAAATGTTTTAAGCACACTGATTATAAAGCATGATGCATTTATTTGTTCTGCTGCAATAAATGGTTTATGGGTTTATGAGTGTGAATTCATTTTTTAATATTCAATACTTGTTAGATTTTAGTTCCTCTTTGTTCTTTTATTAGTATTTTGGTTTGTATTTGCTCTGATCCTTTCATCTTTGGCATTGCTTGTGTGTTTCTAAATAAAAACTTTACTGAAAATCAGACTTTTTGTTTTTAGTTGATTTCCTATAAAGTATATAGACCCATACAAAATTATATATATTCAATTCAATTCAATTCAGCTTTATTTGTATAGCGCTTTTACAATGTAGATTGTGTCAAAGCAGCTTCACATAAATGGTCATAGTAACTGGAACAGTGTGGTTCAGTAACTGGAACAGTGTGGTTCAGGTTTTAGTGTTTAAGTTCAGTTCAGTTTAGCTCAGTTCAGTGTGATTTAATCATTACTGAGAGTTCAAACACTGAAGAGCAAATTCATTGATGCGTAGCTCTACCAATCCTGAACCATGCGAGGCAGTGGCGAGCGGAGAGGGAAAAAAAAACTTCACCTATATATATATGAGTAAAGTAAGTACTTTAATCACCCAGGAGCTGTGCAGAGAGTATGACAGTGAAGTAATAAAGAGTTATATTTAACACTCTGTTGTGTGCACACTAAGAAGTGCTTATTTTATGCATTTAAGTTTCAAGATCACAAATTATTGAACTACAACTCCCATAATGCGAGGTCTACACACACCAGTTCCTAATCCCCCTGATTACAAACACACATCTGGAAGCTCATGATGGACTAATCAGATGGACTATAAAAACAGCACACAAAGACACACACACAGACACATACATCATTGCTGAGTCTTCTTTATTCCCTGTAACATTACAAAGCATTTTCCATTGTCTTGCCTTGATGTGTTTTCTGACCTACGCCTTGTTTGATGTTGTTTAACCCTATCTACTCTTTTGGGTTGCCCTTAAACTTGCTGCTCTCTCCTACTTGGATTGTTTATCTGTGCCCAAATGAATAAAGACACTACATAGTGGATCCTTAACTCTGTTGCCAGAACAGTTTATGTTACATAAAGTACATTTTACAACAATGCAATTGAATGCATGGGAGTTTAATTCTACATGCAATGCTCTGTTAAGATTGTCTAATTTCGAGACAACTGAAGAGTTAATTAATTCAATGACTTTTGCAATGATTGGATAAAATTTAGTTATTGAATTTCAAAATCATGTGTGTAATCACAAAGCGTACAAATATATAAACTCACAAGTGCAGCCAGCAATCTCAAGAGGTTACTGTCGAACACATAATAGCTGCAGGACACCTGAGAGCTGTTTTTGACATCAAGGCATCTTCAGCTTTAAGGGAATCATTTTCAAAATGAAAACATTACAGTTTTTCTCAAATGCTAAAACACATTTAACAAATGTTTCCGCCATGTTCCCCTAAAAACAACACCCTTTTCTAAAGCTACACAACCACACCTTCTCACTTCAAAACTCAAACTTTCACACCAAAAGAGCAGCTTAAAGCATTCATAAATGTAAACACTGTACACATCATCACACACTACAGCAAAACAATTGAAAACACAATGCTCAATTTGTGAGTATATTCTTTGTTTCATAACTGCCGCGTGGACGGATTATGAGAATAAAGGCCTTTGAATATTTTTCCAGACACATTTAGCTGCTAGAAATCAGTCAGATAACGTTTTTATGTTCATCTGAATGCCAACTGTGTAAATAATTATTGCTGTTAATTTTCCGGAAAGGTTTGTATGTGTTAAAGGGGCTAATGACTAAAACATGTAACTGATGCACCAACCCCCTGAACCAATTCTGCTAAACTACAAGCACAATTCCTGCTTCACACTCTAATTGCAGGTTTAAAACACACTTTTTTTAAAAAAAAACACTACACACAGTTCTCTGCATCTGGCGCAATTTCTATGCAGAAAATCTCTTGCGTTTACAAGGAACGCACTGTCTGTCAAAATGGCTCAGTCAGCAGCCCTACTTTGCATACTAGCTCATCACATGACTAAACATGTCTCAAGTGGAATTTGGAAATCAGAGCTTCTGTGGTTCACAACTGGTTCACTGCCCACCCATGTTTTTTAGTTGTTTATCTCCCTCCATATTCTCCATTCCTCAAACCTATTGAGGATATTTTTTCTGCCTGGGGATGGAAAGTGTATGACTGAAATCCACACACACATATACCCCTTCTCCAAACTAAAGCAGTTGATGCTTTTCATGGCTGGATTTGCCATGTGAGATAACATTTCCCCCACTGCTTGGCCAGACCAAAACAGAAAAAAAGATGTGGTATAGTTGGTTATATATATATATATATATATATATATATATATATATATATATATATATACTGTAACTGTATTCTGTAAATACTTCTGTTGATGGCATATGTAGACCACACTATGTGCAACTTTGTGTTGGCTGAGATGAACAGTGTACACTGTTTTTGTGGGGAAAATACAGTAAAATATATTTGGTATTTAAGTGTTTTCTATAAAAACATTATTCTGAAATATTTTACAATGCACTTCTGTAGGACTTTATGTCTGTAGTAGGTGAACACTGAACAAAAAAAAAGGCTTACAGTAAGTCATTATGATGAATAGAGAAGAAGTGGTCATAGTGTTTTACATTAGGCACATCAGTGCTTAACTGTTCTTATAATTGTCTATTCATGTGATGGCTTGTGTGTCATTTGATAACAAAACACCATTTTGAGAATAAATTAAATTGATTTGAAAATAGAGTTTTATTTTGCTGAAGAATTGAAGGGTTTGGACCAATGTGTGTGTGATTTGTGTGTAGAGTTCTGACAACATGATACCTGCTTTCAGAAAACGTGTGCAAACAACTGGGAAAAAACTGTAATAACCCAAAGGTTGGGTTTGTCCACATATGACCCAACATTTGACCCATATTTTTTTTGAGTGTAATAATATTCTTAAAACATGTTAAATCCTATTTGTTAAAACTAATAATCTACTCGTCTGCTCACTTGGAATGCAGCATTTTTCTTCAGAGAGTGTGTTGTGGGTGTTTCCTCATGTTAAAGGCGGGATGCAGTGAAGACTTTAGACGTTCCTCTTTTTCAGTTCATATTCAGATGAACCGTGGATCTGAGTGACTGCAGGAGGCAAAAATGGCAACAAGAGGTCAGTCTAAACTAATTTAATATTTAATTTAAAAGTAATTTAACACTAATCTAACAAACACTCACAGACTAGACAGCTAGGACAGGAATTCTGCACTATTGATTACGTTCAAATACTGTAAATACGCTACATTATTAACCCTTCTGTCAAATGTTTGGTTATTATGGTTATGGTTTTGTAGATGTTTTCCATATGCCTTTTATGAACCTTTTTCACAGTATATTCATAAACATGCACTCATCTCAGTTAGAGAGTTTGTTGATGTGACATAAAGCAAATGTTTTCAAATGTTTGACATTTATTGTGACTCTGTGTTTCTCATTTTGGTCATTATTAAAGATGAAGATTATGAAGACAATTACGAAGATGATGGTGATGTAGATGATGAGGTGGAGGAAGATAAGGATGGGGAAGATGATGATGGTGATGTAAATGATGAGGTGGAGGAAGATAAGGATGAGGAAGATGATGGTGGTGATGTGATTAATGAGGTGGAGGAAGATAAGGATGAGGAAGATGATGGTGGTGATGTGATTAATGAGGTGGAGGAAGATAAGGATGAGGAAGATGATGGTGGTGATGTAATTAATGAGATGGAGGAAGATGAAGATGAGGAAGATGGTGGTGGTGATGTAATTAATGAGGTGGAGGAAGATGAAGATGAGGAAGATGGTGGTGGTGATGTAATTAATGAGGTGGAGGAAGATGAAGATGAGGAAGATGGTGGTGGTGATGTAATTAATGAGGTGGAGGAAGATGATGGTGGGGATGTAATTAATGAGGTGGAGGAAGATGATGATGAGGAAGATGGTGGTGGTGATGTAATTAATGAGGTGGAGGAAGATAAGGATGAGGAAGATGATGGTGGTGATGTAATTAATGAGGTAGAGGAAGATAAGGATGAGGAAGATGATGGTGGTGATGTAATTAATGAGATGGAGGAAGATGAAGATGAGGAAGATGGTGGTGGTGATGTAATTAATGAGGTGGAGGAAGATGAAGATGAGGAAGATGGTGGTGGTGATGTAATTAATGAGGTGGAGGAAGATGATGGTGGGGATGTAATTAATGAGGTGGAGGAAGATGATGATGAGGAAGATGGTGGTGGTGATGTAATTAATGAGGTGGAGGAAGATAAGGATGAGGAAGATGATGGTGGTGATGTAATTAATGAGGTAGAGGAAGATAAGGATGAAGATGATGGTGGTGATGTAATTAATGAGGTAGAGGAAGATAAGGATGAAGATGATGGTGGTGATGTAATTAATGAGGTAGAGGAAGATAAGGATGAAGATGATGGTGGTGATGTAATTAATGAGGTGGAGGGAGATAAGGATGAGGAAGATGATGGTGGTGATGTACTTAATGAGGTGGAGGAAGATAAAGATGAGGATGTGGAAGAAGATGATGAGGAAGGTAAAGATAATGAGAAGGTAGAAGAAGATGAGGAAGATAATGAGGAGGAGGAAGAGGAAGAAGATAAAGTGGAGGTAGAAGAAGATGTGGAAGAAGAAGATGATGGAGAGGTAGAAGAAGATGAGGAAGATGAGGAGGAGGAGGAGGAGGATGAAGAAGATGAAGATGATGACGACGACGATGATGATGATGATGATGATGATGAAGATGATGATGATGAAGAAGATGAAGATGGTGACAAGATCTCCGGTAAGTAGATATTTACATAATACAGTGATTTAACAGCTGAATGTACCTCTATATCTAGTAAATTCAGTATGTTCTGACTGCAGTTTAAGATATTAAACAGCATACATTTATTTAAAAAATGTCATTAAATTATAAATAAATTATATTTGGCCCCGCCCATGGCTGTACCATATTAGCATAGATTTCCCTGAGTGAGTCACATTAAACAAGCCCCGGCCTCAACTGTGTATTGTACTGCAGTGTTAGCGTAGATCTGCCCTGAGTGAGTCACTTTACAGAGGCCACGCCCAGGATTGTTGACAAACCCTACCTTATTAGTGTAGCCCTTGAATGAGTCGCATTGAACTGTGTCATAATTAGCATAGACCTGCAGTAATTAAGTCAAATTAAACAGGCCCCGCCCACAACTTTTGATGGACACTGCTATAGTAGCATAGACCTGCCTTGAGTAAGATATTTTGAACTGGCTCTGCCCATGACTGCGCCATAATTACCATAGGCCTGCCCTAATTAGGTCACATTGAACAGGCCCGCCCACGACTGTTGATGGACAATGCATTAGTAGCATAGACCTGCCTTAAGTTAGACACTCTGAACTGACTCTGCCCATGATTGTGTATAACTAGAATAGACCTGCCCTGAGTGAGTCACATTGAACAGGCCCACAGGGCCCCGCCCACAAATGTTTATTACGCTGCCGTATTAGCATAGACCCACCTTGAGAGAGTCATATTGAACAAGCCCTGCCCATGAATGCTTATTGCACTGCAGTATTAGCATAGATCTGCCCTGAGTGAGTCACTTTACTGAGGCCACGGCCAGTAAAAAAGTTTACCTTATTAGCATAGACCTGCCCTGAATGAGTCACAATTGGCCCTGCTCATAACTGTGCCATATTAGCATAAACCCACCCTGAGTGAGTCACATTGAACAAGCCCCGCTCATGAGGGTTTATTGTACTACAGAGGCCACGCCCATTATCATATTATAAACCCGCCCAGTCACACTGAACTTGCTTGTTGATGATGTTTACAGTACTTTTGGTTTACTTTAACTCTTGTGTGAATACAGATATCATCGCAATGGGCTTAATGGATCTCGCTGTCTCCAAACTGCCAGGTGAGCAATTTCTGAATTGAAAGAAATGCTTGTAAAGCCATAGATGATCATTAATGTTTCACTTTAGGTTTCTAAATACTCGTATCAGTAGTATTATTTTTTATATAAATGAGGTTCACTGGATATTGTGTCTCATACATGCACTTTCTATCAAGATAACTACATTAACATCAAACTAACATAAACTTTTCCCACCCATGTGTAAAGATGAGCTGGTTAATAAGAAAATGCGCAAGAAGATCCGGAAAAAGATGAAGTCGGGAGTCGAAAAAGCTGTTCTTATCGCTGATACAGTGGCTATGATGTATAAAATCCAGAAGAAAACCAAAAAAAAAAATCAAGAAGACAAAAAAAAAAATCCAGAAGAAGCTAACAAAGTTAAAAGACACTACAGCTGGAACAAAGGCCACGACTCCTACAACCGAGACGAAACAAACGATGATGAAAGACACTACAGCTGGAACAAAGGCCACGACTCCTACAACCGAGACGAAACAAACGATGATGAAAGACACTACAGCTGGAACAAAGGCCACGACTCCTACAACCGAGACGAAACAAACGATGATGAAAGACACTACAGCTGGAACAAAGGCCACGACTCCTACAACCGAGACGAAACAAACGATGATGAAAGACACTACAGCTGGTACAAATGTCAAGACGCCTATAACCGAGAAGAAACAAGTCATGGAAAAAGCCGCTGGAGCTGGTACAAATGTCAAGACGCCTATAACCGAGAAGAAACAAGCGATGGAAAAAGCTGCTGGAGCTGGTACAAATGTCAAGACGCCTATAACCGACAAGAAACAAGCGATGGAAAAAGCTGCTGGAGCTGGTAAAACTGCCAAGACGCCAATAACCGAGAAGAAACAAGCGATGGAAAAAGCCGCTGGAGGTGGTACAAATGTCAAGACGCCTATAACCGAGAAGAAACAAGCTATGGAAAAAGCTGCTGGAGCTGGTAAAACTGGCAAGACGCCAATAACCGAGAAGAAACAAGCGATGGAAAAAGCCGCTGGAGCTGGTACAAATGTCAAGACGCCTATAACCGAGAAGAAACAAGCGATAATAAAAGACACTAAAGCTGGTACAAATGTCAAGACGCCTATAACCGGGAAGAATCAAACGAAGATAAAAGACACTAAAGCTGGTACAAATGTCAAGACGCCAATAACCGAGGAGAAACAAACGATGATAAAAGACACTAAAGCTGGTACAAATGTCAAGACGCCTATAACCGAAAAGAAACAAACGATGGTAAAAGCCGCTGCAGCTGGTACAAATGTCAAGACGCCTAAAACCGAGACGAAACAAACTAAAATAAAAACCACTACAGCTGATACAAACGCCAAGACGCCTATAACCAAGAAGAATTAAACGAAGATAAAAGCCACTGCTGCATCTCATTAAATATTTAGCTCAACAGTTTTTATTTTTATCATTTATGTTATTGTTATCATTATTATTAGTAATCGAATCTGAAAATACATTGGTCACTTCTTCAGCACTTTCGGTACTTGTGTTTTACCCAGCCTAATCACACAAGAAAATGTAAATGTGTTAAGTGTAAACGTTTAGTGAGTTTAGTGGCTAAGTCGTATGAGTTCATTCATACGAAATGGCACCGAAACCCAACTGTCATTGGGCGAATGAGATCGTCCAAATGCATACGAATTAGCCACTGAATCAAGTTAGGAAATGCCGTGAGAAAATGTTGGATGTACCAATCACTCTGCGTA